TTTCGGTAAGCAACTGAAAGTCCTTTTATTGTCGTTTGCTCCACCATGCAGTTCTGCCTCCCATTATGTCGCTGATACCTTTCTCCTAATGAGCAATTTGTTCCCTTCCTGTCCTTCCTGTCCTTCTCCTGTTAAATTACTACAATCATTTTTAAATTTTGCTTTGGAGTTTTTTTTTCACCCCTCGTTTTTTTTCATTTTCATTTTGCTTAACGGACTTCTAATCTCAAAAACTATGCATTGAACTTTGTGCAGATTTTGCCTACATCGTCTAAAATTTGCATGTAAATTTATTTTTACTTGCTTTGATGGGACCCTGACGGGTCTTTAATAAAAATAATTGAATTTAATTGAGTTTCTCTCCAACCTTTCAGGCCAAATCGGTTTGAAAGACAATGAGCATTCAGTGAACCGCCTAAGTTTGTTGATTGACCCTATTTGAAGTCGGTCCTGCAGGTCCAGCACATTTTCCTCCTCTCCTGTAAAATGGTCAAGGCAATTTGACTGCTGTCTTTCCCTAGCCAGCGGTCCAAAAGTAGCGTTCTGGTAGATAAGTTTATCTGTTACCCACTGCAGTAATTTGTAATTAAAGTTGTGTTGTAGCCCCTGCGATGTCCGCGTTTGTCAGTTGCTGACAGGAGCGTTAAAATCCCTAACGATAAGGACACCTTTCTTCCCACTGGCTATGCACCGTTCGGCTATGAGAATGAGATCTTTGACAGAAGTCTGCATAGGTGAACGGCACATCACCGAAAGCGTCAGTGGTCGGACATCATTAGCAAATATAAATGAAAGGCGGGAGGGACGGATCACTGTTCGTTTCCATCCCGGAGACTTTTCTGATGGCGGCGCCGGTGATTGGGAGTGGCTGATCAAGTGCTCGACCCAGCTTTGCAAAATTTTTTGATTTCTCTGTGAGGGGAGTTGTTAAGTCGGCACTGAAAAGCGGCGCGGTCTCCTTGGCCGTGTGCTGTAGACCATCTTAATTGAAGCCAAAATGTTCCTCCCTTTATTGCGAACCGCATACTCTTGAGTTCCCTCCGATTTACGATCTATCCAGGTGTTGTGCATCTTTTTTAACCACTACTCTATCAGATGGCGACATCTAATCAGGGCCGCTTTGCATAAGTCAGTATGGTGGTCGGTGCAGGCTGCGTTTAATTCGTCCATTTTGGTGAGTAGCTTAAGAATATTTGTGTCGTTGCGAAGCCAGTCCTGGTCATGACGGCGTGGTATCTGAGAAGATTCAAAGCGGTAGGGCGGGAAACGTTCTGTAGTTGACACCGCCGTGTCTCCACAGTGGCGTTATCGACCTAAACATTCAGCCGGTTGTTGAAGTCTAGGCGACGAGCAGACTCGTTTTACGGATTTATATTCAACGTACCTGGGGGTCGCTTACCTTGTGGCTCTCAGTGTGGCGTTATTCCGAGCCTCATCCTGGAGATGATGAAACGGTCATTCGTTAAACCTTCGGCGAAAAAAATAATCTTTGTTATCAGCATGTTCGGACGGCCTCGTAACTGGAAGAGAATGTAATCCAACAGGAGCTAACTCCGCGGCCGTGGAGGCATCCTGTTTGCCCTTTCCCGCATCGTTAGACGCGTGAATGTGTTGGTGAGAATCAGCAATGTTTTGAACGGGTTCACAGAAGGATGAGGCCAGTAAAATTGTAGCCTTCGATTCCGTGGGAACGTAGCACACTCTTCTATAGAGTACGGTCTGTCCCTACTCAAGTATTGAAATCACCAAGGACAGTCATCTTGTCCGCCTTCGACAAAGTCACCAGGAGGCCGTGCAGGTTTTCAGAGAATTCGTTATTTGCCTCGTCGGAGCTGGTAATTACGGGAGCGTGGGCCCCATAAGGGTGGCAACTGTGGCCGCCGAAGAGGCGGATGTTCGATCATGGTGCAATCGCTGATGCCCTGCGGCGGACAGGGAGGTCGTCCCACGATGTTCTTCCGGATGGTAAAAACGACATTAGCACGAATTTGTTCTTTATTTGGGCCACCACTCCAGAGTAAAACGCAGGCTTACACCAACCCCCTTCAGTTGGCCATGTTCAGAGAAGCGGGTCTTGATGAAAGCAACAATGTCCCTTTGCGATATGCCACTTCTCGAGTGACTAGCGCCGGCCGTTCATTCCTCATATTGTCTGCAAGAAAACAAACACGCCAGGTTGCCAGAGTAAGCAGTGTCATTCTGGCGGCCTTTGGAGTGGAATCGAGGGATATGGATGTGGTTTATTGCTCATTCGGTTGTTTCATCCGTTAGTTGCCCGTCTACGAGCCATGGTCTGCTTGAACATGGTAAGAGTTTACTTCTACCGTACTTTGCCTTATTTCATCCACGCGAGAGATACGCGATACCATTCCTAGATGAGAATGTTTATATGTCTCGGATGGTTTCTGTAAATGCAATAGCGGTGGTTCACTTAAAAAGAACTAATTGGATTGTACTAGTTTTTCTGGCTCAACAGATACCTGGTCAGCTATGTCAGAAACTGTTTTAGACGCCAGAGACAACCGCAAATCTTTAATTCTAACGGAGACGGTGTGTCACATAAATTTGAAACCTTGTCCTACATGGTAAGAATATATGAAGCGGCCACTTGATAATTAAGACGGTTTGGCGTCTCCGTCTTCAATAATCCAGCGCCTACCCTACGCGCAACATTATCCCGATCAGAAGACCTCATACTCAAAGACAGGCAAACAAGTGTCATTTATCGAATTCCATACCAATAATCTAGCTCTTTTGCCACAGGCCGACAGAATTACGGCCAAAGCTGCCCAGATTTGTGACCTTATTTTTCACAATTTTTATCTTCCTGAAATTACATTTAGCATTTATCGGATGGTTGTACTTCCCATTCTTGAGTAATGTTGTCCATTCTACGGTTTGATGAACGAGGCTATCATTCAAAGGTTGAAAATGTTCAAAAGGCACTCTACTAGAAGACTCCTTAGTACGACACATCCAAATGTGTCCTAATCAGATAGATGACAGCTAACTAACCCAAAAAGTTCCATGGGTCCGGAGACTAGAAGCAGGCTGTTGTCCCTTCCTTCGGATTAATACCAATTCAAATCGTCCTCGGATCTCAGCCCTCACACCTCCGAGTCGCCCATAAAATCTTCGTAATTCTTCCTTGATTATACCTCCTTCTCCACCACGGAGCACTCCATTTTTTCGTTTCCAGGTATACTTTCCTTTGGAATAACCCCCCAATATATAAGATCATCAGATAGTCTACAAACATGTAGAAGGCTTCGTCGTTGTCCGAATACTGACACGACTAAGCTTTTATTTTCCTTATCCTTCCCATTAGACAACTTTCTCTATGAAATTTAGAAAGAGCCATCAGAAATGTGGGATACCACAAAATTATCGTGTCCGATCACATTTCCTTCCCTGCGTTTGGGTTCGCTTTCTAAGATCTCTCATCAGAGATTTCGATTTCCTTAATTTTTCAGTCCACGCATCGTGTCCTTCACAGAACACGATATCCCCCCCCTGACAAATCCTCTCAAAAAGGTAGCCCCACTAGGTTGACGTGCAAGGCATAAGCCGCCTCCGTTTTGCTGATCGTTGGCTCTCATTAGGATTCCACTCTGGCACCTGCGATTTCGAACTCTCCCCCCATTCGATGATTTTCGCGATTCGTGATGCCATCTCATTTCGCACCCCTGTGGTTTGTTGACAATCGCGGCGGAATTCTCTATTTTTCGTCATCTGCTAGTAGTTCGGGTGGTCATTGAAGTGATCTCAGGGTCACACCATCCCATCTACGCTTTGATGATCGCCTCAGCCTTTAATGTCCGCTCCTCGGCTGGACTCCAAACGGATTTTGACCGATCGCGTCTGGGTTTCTGTTGTCTTGCCACTCCGAGGCAGACAGTTTCATCCGGTTTAGGAATTCTGACTTGATAATTTCCGTTCTGAACCCCTCGCTCAGTGCCATATACGGGCCAGTCCTTTTTGACCAGAATATTTGCCTTTTCATAAGCGGTAGTTCTTTCCGCCTTAAAGGCTAGCCAACTCGTATTTATTTTGTCTTTTTCGAGAGGAGTTTTTTTACTGCTCGCTGACCGTTTCTAATATATGACTGCGTATTTTATGACTGTAAGCTGAATACCCTACGTAATATGCCTACTTGTTCTATAATTTGTCTAAGGATTTATTTTGACTTGTTATGAAAGTACCCTCAAGGGCACTCAATAAGACACTTTATTTCAGAGCGCTAATCTGTCGAGACAATATACGGTGTTGATTGCTGGCCGCTTCTAATGGTAAACGTTTAGTAGCATAACGTAGAACACTAGCTTAGTAAGGGTGGGAGAGGGCAAAAGACCCGACTTCCTTACAGTAGTCACTGCACACCCTTTCAGATATTGTTCCATTGTTCGTGACGAGGGCCATCATTCCGTCGTTTAGTTGGCATACCATGTGTGTGAAACACACTTTTCATCCGAATTTCAGCATGCTTCTCCAGGATCCATCGCGATTCACTGTAAAGAAGGTCTTTCTCATATCTACGAAGATAGTGTAGGGTCTCGCCCCCATTTCCCGGCACTTTCATCATAGCTGGTGGGTGGTAAAGATCATGTCAGTGGCTCTACCCCACAGATAGAACACCGCAGGAGTGTGTCGGCGTACTACGATGGGAAGCTTCTGGCGATAGTACACAAGTGAAGAAAGAAGCAGCCTCTACAAACCATCATGATGTAATTATGCAAGTTTAACGGATGTGGGTACGCCTGACGACGTTCCAAGTGAAGTGGCAGATGGACCCAGGGCTAGTACTAATAGGCACTAGTGCACACGAACCAGTACGATGGAACTTCTGATTATAAAACTGCTTGTCACATGTCATCTCCCTTACAGATCACATAGTGTCCGCCTACTTTGACTGTGACTACCGTACTCCTTGTTTTAATTTACCACCGTCTGAGCCTCTGATCGTTCGAACAACTTTGGCGCCTCTGACAGCATTTTCCGCCATGGCCTCCACAGATCCTAGCTATGCTCCCTTTTTTGGCATTATGGGCGCAACTGCGTCGATTGTATTCTGTGGTATGTTGGTTTTGAACTTATATTAGTTGTCTTCCAGCTTTCGGGGCCGCGTATGGGACGGCGAAATCGGGTGCCGGCATATGTTCCATGGGCGTAATGAGGCCAGAACTGATTATGAAGTCCATCGTTCCAGTTGTCATGGCTGGTATCGTTGCAATCTATGGCTTAGTTGTATCTGTTGTCATTTCACAACAGAAGGACAAGTCTACTCAGATGGCTACGTAAGCTGTTTTCTATATGATAATCGTGTGCAGCTCACTTAAACAACTAGGTGGAGGGTTAAGTGTAGGACTTTGCGGTTTGGCAGCTGGCTTTGCAATTGGCATCGTTGGTGACGCGGGCGTTCGTGGAACGGCTCAACAACCTAGACTCTTCGTCGGGATGGTTCTGATTCTGATTTTCGCGGAAGTCCTGGGGTTGTACGGACTAATAGTTGCCCTGATTCTTTGCAACCAGTAATACGAGCCTCTTTGACATTGTCCTCTGGAATTATTTGGCCGCTGAACGCCGATTTCCCTTATTTACCTTCTGCAATCTGTTGTGCTTTCTCAAAGTTGGCTCTATTTCCCGAAGCCCCCATTTCCCGACTTCTTGAACCTCGCATTAACCGCATTCCATTTACTTATCTTCTTTGGTTACTATGCTAAGTGACGACTAAGGACTTTCTAGATTACTTGTTTTCCCGGGCACGCGTCCTCCGTTATCTTCAGGTTCGCGTGATCGTGCTACGTTTATATCTTATTGTGCCTAACCATTTTACCTCATTTTCCGTTGTCATTATCTCGTGATAGCCACGTGGTCTCGATTGAAGTTTTGTCAGAAATGCGTCTTCGATTACCTGCGTGTATTTCCTAAATCTCTTAGTTTTTTCTGGCTTATCGAAGTCTGATGGGTAGGCACTTTTTCACAGACCTTGTAAAGTCGTCATTGTCGTGTCGTATACTTTTCATTAAATGCAAGTTTGATCTGTAAGCTGCTCTGTAATTTACCATCTTGTAGGAGCACCTCCATGCTTCAGGAGGATCAGCCTGCGCATTGTGCTATCGACCCTTAGTGCTCGATTCTTTTTGGTGAAGACCTCAAGCCTCGTCTCGAAATCTTCAGATGTACCCCGTTTTTATGTTTGCGCCGACCGCTTTCGGAGTCCTGCTGATCTGCACCGCCCGGTGGTATACGTCACATAAACACGCTTTGGTTAGATGTTAATGCAGCCAAGCGACAGAATTACTATTAACTTAAACATACAGAGATCGCAGTCTTACATAGCTTGTGCATCTAGGACGTCAATGACTTTTGTGCACTGGCGGTAAGTGTTGGTTCAGTAGAGGTCACCACATGTGCATTATGCACTGGTGGCAGTTATGCCTGCCTTTGTACGCAATCTGGTTGAAATATGCCGCAACACTTGGCTGCACCGATATGATATGACTAGTGACAGGCGACCGCTGTCGTTTTGTCCTGTCTGCACCTAGAATACTGACACTTCTCCTGTCGTAGATGAAGCGTCATTATTCTTGTAAGTTGGGCTTTCGGGATCAGTAAACGTCCTGACACTTCTGGAAATTATCCACTTGGTATTATGCGTTCATTCTAGTTTTTGACTCCGTACAATCCGCCGGTTCATACACGTGTGTATGCCACTATCGTTTATGATAATTGGACGGAGTACGGACCGTTTTAGGTCTGTCTCCATCCCGTTTCTGAGTTTACTCATGGCCTTCAGTAACCGAACAGCGTCCCAAACAAGAAAATCTAGGTATTCCGTCAGATGGGTCTTACCTAGGCTGTGTTGCGGAATTGCTGTGCATCCCGTTGTCAGATATTCACGTTCACCGTTTGTTGACTTGGCGTTATAGGGCTTCTAGTCACCTGAGAACCCTACGACAATGTGTGAAATTTTGCTCTGTTACACTCTTTCGATTGACGATTGTCGTGATCCCTAATCAAAATATTTAGGCTCCAGCAGTTTTCGGCCTTTGAAAGCGCTGAAAACGCATGGTTGTCTGGATCTTTGGAGTGGGACTGACACTGGAGGATTCATCCTCACTGTATTTTGGCGCATTCTTCACTATATTAAATCTCACGCGCCTAAGCCTATCACGACGCGCTAAGTCATGGCCTGGAAGATTGTCAACTGGCGCGGTAACTGTCTCACTCAGGACTGAGGGTCAGGCTGCAATGACTTATTTGTGTGGACTTTATGACACCCGTCTGTGTGAGATCAGAGCCGTCCAACAGTAATCTGTCGAATCTGGAATGGGGGCCAGGTCGTGTAGCACATCTAGGTGGGCTGTTTAGCCTTGTCGGCCGCTTCGTCCGCGCTCACCTCCAGTCGTCTTGAAGTCGGCATGCCATTGGTGCGTGGTGCTTGAGTAAGGAGACGTGTGGTAGATATTGTATGCGTGCGTATTGCTAGAATGAATCATGACTTCTGGGCTCACTCCGTCTGGGACGTAGTAGATGCCGTTTGCGAAGATCGGACTGTTACCTAAAACCATGCTAAGCATCCACCCGGATTGTTACTTGACAGCATTAACAAATCTTATTACTATAAGACCGCAAACATTTCCGGGCAGATATCTAAGTAGTACTCGAATGACATACGTTTGGAAAAAGACGTGGATTTAAATCCTCATCCTCAAGACGATGAACTCTCCTTTTTTCACGTAAGGTACTTTAAGTTACGTAAACAGATAAAAGTGAGAGTGGCATTCAGGCTGCTGCTTCTTTGATGGGATTTTATAAGATGGCTAGCGTGGTTCTCAACGGAAAGACACCACAGTCTTGTGTAAGTGCTCCCGTGGGTCCACATTCTCATATTACCAGCATTGCGTCTTGCTTGAAGACGCATTCAACTATCTCGTGGAGACCAGCACCCGATATCCGATCCGAGTTGTATGTCTTCGTTATTCTGTCATCGCCTCTTGTCCACCGGGGTTGCTAACGCGAATTTATTAACATTGAGGGAGGATTTGCTTTAGGCACGACACCTCGTTTGATGTAGATAAATAAGGTTTTATTTACGGGCCGATTTAACGCTATTCTCCATAAAACCGTCAATTCCACCCCATAAGTTTGGTCCAAGTCTGGGCCACTGCTTTTAGGTATATTCCGAAGATTCGACTCATTCATAGATATCTCAACGGTTAGCAGGACTCACCATAACTGAACTGCTCTAGTTTGCTATTAAAGCACAACTGAGAAAGTGCTCATATGGTTTTGTGTCGAGGTAAGCCAGTTGACATGCAATTCACTGACAGCGTGACATGCCGATGGTCCTGATCGCATCTGCTACCTATGCGAGCACGTTAGGAGTTTTGCAAATATCAGTGTAATACGCACCGTTTAGTGGTCATGTGGGCCGTCACGAACCTCTGACAGTCTGTCATGGAAATCGTTTGTATCCCTCAGCATCTTGCGCAATGAGACTTGTGAAAACGTTTACAGATTCTTGGGTATGTGGACAGCTGAGAGTTTTGATTGACTATCATAGCCAAGGTCAAATTTGAAGGAGATATATGGCCGATACTATTCGATTTTAGCGGCCAGGAAGTCGCAGTGTTCCAAGGGTTCTGCCCTCAGATTATACTCGTGTCAGTCTTCCGAACTCTCGACTGCGTGTTCAGCAGCTGAGTCGGAAAAACCTTTGCTATAGGATATCTTTAGTCAGCATTTCGGCCGAGTCCTGGGCTTACTTTTGCACGTTTGCTGTAATAATCTGGACCCTGTAAAGCTGGATCAACTTTCTACTTTGCGAAGTGGTCCCCGTCATCGCCTTGTTAGATTGATGCCCATGTTTCTGCTATTACTATCGTTTGAGTTTGTAACAAACGGCCTTGCAGGCCACTTATATGCCTGCGCTCGTCGAGGTCAAAATCTGTACTCCACTGTGGCTAGTGGATAAACCCCTAGGGCAGCCGACTTAGCCGCGTGGCCGAATCGGCGAAGGTGCCACCGCCACCGCCAAGGCCAAGCAGTGGGTTGTAACTAGACCGGGTCCTCGTGGCGTTTTGTTGTGGTCGCTTTGTGAAATTCGAGAGATATATCGCATCACGGGACCCCTGCCTTGTGTTCATTTACCTTCATACCTGGGCATGGCTCGCAGCTTCCTTGGCTTCCTTAGTGCGTATTTAATCACCAAGGCCTCAGGATCCGAGGGGCTACATCGTAGGCGTGCTCATCACTTAGTCTCTCTGGCTTTTCCACTTGTCAGAGTTGAATTCGGATGTCTGGCACCCCAAACTTCGACATCGCCTCACTGATTGACAGACCTCGTTCTATGCGATGTCCACGAGGAACCATTGCCTCTGCGAATATTTAAACCAGCAGTAGTGGCGGTCACCATGAACTGAATTTGAGTACCGGCAGGCAGGTATTAGGGTCTCTTCGGCATGGCCGCGATTGGTGACACATCCGCAAAGACCGCCTTCACCCACCCAAGCTTGTTTAGAACAGCATTCAGTCTGCCTCTGGTCCCAGCCTTAACAATCCGATAAATCTGACTTATTCAGTTTTGGGGAAAATTAGTGCACGGATTTGGAGTTAACCTTCAGAGCTATGCTTCTTGGGCTCAGTCCGAAAGTTTTTGCATGAATATTTGGTCTGAAATCCATCAGCTGCTGCGGAATAACCGCCTATTGCCAACAGCCAGTCGGTAGCATCCAAATACTAAGTGAATTGCTTTATTGACAGCACAGGTACTAGCTAAAAGCCCAGACACGTCTGACGCAAGTGATTTGACGGGGTCAGCTCGTATGTCAGCAGCATTACGGTGACTAATCTGCCTAGTGACTAGATTGTCAGGAAGGACTTTGGCGTCACGAATTCATGGGCCAGTCGAAGAGTGGCGAGTGTTAACTAGAATAATTGTTTAAAAGCTGGCTTGAAGTCATGTCCGTGGGTGGGGGACAGAGAAAAGGGCAACAGCAGACTAACGGCAATACTTATGCCTTGATACCATGACTTTGGGTCTAGCACACCGGTTCGATGACTCACAGCCACAGAGCTGCTAATAAGTAACTCTTAGCATTGCTAAATGGTGGCTCTTTTTCAGCTAGCCAAGGCGGTAGACAAACCCTCTAAGCGACAAACCAAGCGATTATTGGGAGATCACAGGTTCTCGCATTATGAAGAAAATTTGGTGGGCAAATGTCCGGACCGACGCTCAGATGAATAGTTACCAAGCTAGGCTACTAGGTCAGAGTGGAGTCCTTGGTACTGGACACTAGGATTTGTCTATTCCTGTCACCAAAGGTGATGACGCACCTAAGTGTAGTGTAGGCGTTTGATATTTCATAGTCTGAATGCCACAAAATGGTATCCGGGAAATCAAGATCCTAGTGTGAAAGTTCTCATCCTCTGCGACTCCTAGTAGGTTCGGTGTGACGATCGCCATCAGCATACGGAACATGTACTACTTGTATGGAAGCCAGTGACCCGGTCAGCTTACTTGCGAGTGG